TTATTGGTACAATTGGCCCCAGCTTACTTTACATCATTAACTGTTCCCAATCATTTTAAACAAGCAAGCATCCAGCCCTTACTCAAAAAGCCTAACCTTGATCTATCACTTCCAGAGAATTATAGACCCATTTCCAAACTCTCGTTAATATCTAAGGTTCTTGAAAAGGTTGAAAAGGTGTTTTTTTTTTAGCCAGCTCACATCTGTTTTAAACAACAATGAAAATCTGTGACAAGTTTCAATCAGGGTTCTTCCAACGACACAGTACCGAAACTGCTCTTATCAGGGCTACAAACGATTTGCTGATGAGTGCTGATAATGGGGAATGTTTGGTTATATTGCTGTTGGACCTAAGCGCAGCATTTGATACTATTGATCATAAAATTCTAGCCAATAGACCTAATCAGTTTGTTGGCATCACCGGAACCGCACTCAGATGGTTTGGGTCATACCTGTCAAATAGAGGATTCTCTGTCTCAATTGATCATTTTGTTTCTTCCTCGGCCCCCATGACGTACGGTCTGCCACAGGACTCAATTCTTGGTCCAGTCTTGTTTTCCCTGCATATGCTCCCATTAGGAAATATTATGAATCACTTTGAGGGGGTCTCCTATCACTGTTATGCTGATAATGTGCAAATGTACCTGTCCTTCAGGTCAGACAATATCAGCCGCTTAAAGAATTTAGTGGAGTGCATGGCCCCCATTGAGAAATGGATGAACTGTCGTTGTCTGCAGCTTAATACAGGGAAGACAAGAGGTAATTTTCTTTGGCCCTGATCATATAGCAAGCAAATTCAAGCCGCTCTTTGGTCCGGTCTAACACCCAATATAAAATCTACAGGTGGAAATGTAGGTGTTACATTTGATTCACATCTTAACTTCATTCTGCACATCAATAATCTCATTAAATCCTGCTACTACCAGCTAAGAAACATTAGTAAATTAATTCAACTCTGTCTTTCCCTGATCTAGAGAATCTTATTCATGCCTTTGTCTTTTCACGTTTGGGCTACTGCAACTCACTTTTCACTTGCCTGAGTCAGTCCTCAATGGCCAGACTCCAACAAGTGCAGAATGCTGCTGCTCAGATTTTAACAAATGCAAACTGCAGGTCCAACATTACCCCAATCCTTTCCTCCCTCCATTTGCTGCCCGTTACTTACAGGGTTGATTTAAAAATTATTTAAAAAAACTTTTAAAACACAACACGGTCCAGCCCCCCCCCCCTTACATTAAAGAACTTTTAACCCCTTATGCTCCGAGCTGAATCTTAGATCATCAAGAGCACCTTTATTAGTCGTTCCTAGATCTAGGCTGGTTACCAAGGGCGACTGGGCATTTGCCATCAGAGCACCGAAGCTCTGGAACTCCTTACCTGTAGAAATTAGGCTGGCAAACTGTTCCTATTTTGAAATCCTTGCTCCAAACACATTATTATAAGTAGACCTTTTTAACGATTGATTAGTAATTAATGTCCTGCTTTAATTAATGTAATACATTTTTATAACTCACCAATGTTTTATCCTGATTCTTTTGTGAAGCACTTTTCATGTATTTTTTATTTTGTTTGATTGAATACATTCTGTAAAGCACTTTGTAACCTTGTTTAGATAAGTGCTATATAAATAAAGTTATTATTATTATTAAATGCACTATTGGGGGCACATGTGTGACAATATAATGTTAACCATATTCTTAATGATGGGAGGAGGTGGGTGAATGTAGTGAGGCAGGTGGTGGGCCAGAACCATCTCCCAGGCATCCACCAGCTGAACATTAAGTCCTTTGAACACAGCTCTGACCACCTTGTCCTGTTGAATAGCATACCAGTCATTAAAGGTAAATATATAGGGGTTTGTACCTCTGAGGTTTGGAGTCCTGATGACCACCAGCGTGTCTGGAGCCCTGTTTAACAGACGAATCACCGCCCTGCGGATGCCGTAAAGCCTTCTGATGTAGAATTGCATTGGGAAAGGAGTGAGGTGGGCCCAGATGCCAAAAATTACAACTGTGTTGGTGCCACCAACTACATCATCTATTTCATTGGCAATGTAACGCAGCTCACTGGTTGGGATATGGATGGAAACACTAAGAGGAGGACCGTGTAAGTGGAACTTCACCAAGATGTTTTTTGCATTGTCCCATATCATGAAAGGTCCTGATTTCTTCGGATTATTCCGGTTTATCTCTTTAGCATCTGAAAGTACAAAAAAAAAAGGAGCAGATTAAGCTGTGAAATAAATACAATTAAACTGTTGCCTAAAATCACTGTGAATCAACTACCTGGAAGTGAAGCATCAAGGTACTCAAACCACTGCCTGACGGTGGAGTCTCCATACATGTGGACCACCTTTCCTTTCAGACACTGACTGATGGCAGAGGAGTTGTTGAATTGGTAGACTTTGGTGCCACCTAGTGGTCGCCACACACCCTGGTAGTAATACCCAGAGAGTCCAGACTTCCCACTGCCTAGACTATCCATGGGTTGCTCTGAGAATTGTTGATCAAAATAAGCATTTGGTTATTAAACTCATTGTTGTATCATTTGTCAACAGATCCCCTAAAAAGGCCAAAACAAGGTCTCTGCTTTACCTTACTCATTTTACTTTACACTATGAGGACATTATACATATGTCACAAAAGCATTTGTAGTGGCAACTTTCATAAACAGTTTTTATCACTTAGTAGGAGCCAATCTGTTTCTTAATTCTGAAATATTTACTGTAAATAATATTCGTATTTCTTATGATCTAAATGTTGTGTTTTACTAACAGAGGGTGCCTTGCTCAAGGGCACCTCGGCAGTGCTCAGGACGTGGACTGGCACCTCTCCAGCTACCAGACCAATTTCCGGACTCGGCCCATGCCGGGACTTGAACCGGTGACCCTCTGATTCAAGTCCCTACAGACTGAGCTACTGCCGCCAATTAAATGGATTAAATGGACCATGATTAAAATGGCTTCTACAGAGTTCTTTGATGTTTTTCAAAAGATTAAGTTTATGCTTTACTACAATATAGTGAGTGTATGTCTCGAATGCACATGTTTATTGTGGTTAAGGAAAATGTTACCAAATGCCTTTTATTTGACAATGTTAATTATTTAAAGTAAATTATTTACAGATGTTAAGTGATTTGAGTTTTTTATTAGTACACTGGTACTGAGTTAATGAGATAAGCACTTGCAGCTCTTCCTCAGTTTTGTAGATAGAAGCTGGTTTGTTTTTTATATATTTTTGCCTTATATGTATATCTGCTTGAATACAGAGAGTTAGGTTGTATGCATTTTTACCAAACCATTTTTATTTTCAAGGTCACATGGAGATTTTTTTGTTGAAAGTTGAAAGTAGAAAAGTTGTGCTTTACCTTTCCTTGGAGGCAGCACAGTAACATTGGCCGGTCCTGAAGCCTGAATGAAGACTTGCATGTTGACATTGCTGGGGGGGAAAACTCCCATGATTAAGACTCTCTTAAACACACTTCAATATGTAAATGTCAAATGTGATTTAGTCACCATAAATCAATTTGCTTCCATATTTGGACTCCATAGATACACTTTATAGTTTTGTTGATGAGAGAGACTTAAAGTGTTCAGACTAAGTGTTTTGATAGGTATCATCTTACACTGTAAACATCTTAAGATTTCATCTTTGCCTCCTGTAGTTACAAACACAACATTTCACCCCAGGCGATAGATATTTTACACTTTGTTTATAGTCATTACATGTAAAACTAGATGCATCCTTTCTATTGCTGTGCTCCCTCACCTTTTGAAAAGGTTCGCCTCATTAGCCTTGAGTTTTATACGCATTCCTCCGTTCATGTGGTTCATCCTGTCATCACAGCTCAGTTTCTTTGGCTTGTAGCAGAACCATGGGTCACCAGTACGGAGGTCAGTGTAGTTGCACTGTGGCTGGTTGGTTTGACGTAGACAAATATTACAGATGGTAGTTTCAGAGATTGAACCTGAGTGGAAGAGGCTCTTTAAGATAGTCCTATCAGGCTCTTCTCTGTTTAGCCTACGGAGGACTGTGATAGCCTCGCTTGAGTGGACAAGCGTAACCTGATAAAACAAAGAACAAGAGTTTAAAGTTCTAGCATACAAGTCATGGCTACTAATTATTAATTGAATAATGAGAAAACAAAGTTGTATTTTTGGTGTCCCCCTCCTCCTGGGCTCACCGTCCCCAGAAGCACACACTCACTGCAGGTGAGTAGTGTGTAAGTTTCCTGCTTGTACATAAACTGCAATACCGCATGCTAGCACAAGCTAACCACCGATGTATGACATCTGCATGTCTAAGAGAATGCAGGCCAATTCTGTAAGAGAGTGAGAGCCAACCCTCGTTTTTGAACAAGGTTTATCCGTGTAGCGTTTCGTCTCACCTCACTATGATTATATTTTAAGTTATAGCCGCTACTTCCACATCAATCATATTAGCCGGGGGTTGAATCGCAACCAATAACTGAATTGTATCCACTCCTAAACACACCTGCACACTGACATTGGCAGGGGGAAGCACATCCACTCCACACCCAGAAAACTAAAACATTAAAATGCAGGCAAAGGACAGGGTGTCTGGAGACACAGTCACCACTACAGATGTATGGAGGCCCACTCAAGTGATGATTGAGTAGCATTACTTTTGTCTAAAGTCTATATTTTATTTTTCAGGTAAAAGCTACTGTCTTAATAACGTTTAACCGTTTTGTAAGACTGGTTGTAGACGCTTCACTCATCACTGTGACTTGTACACTAACTCAGATTGGCCATCTTTGAAGGTGCGCAGGCATATACACTAGCTGAAGCTTATTTATAAAGCTCTTCTATGAAGGTAGATATGTTGCAAAATAGGAGAGTTTGTAGAATGTGATGTGAGAGTTTGTAGAATGTGCCACACTGAGCTCGGGAGAAGACCGTTTAGTTTTGCTGCTCCCACTGCATGGAACTTTCTCCAAAATGACTTGAAAATGGCAGAGCTCTTGAAGCCTTTGGCTCGATCTTAAAAGATAAAAAATGCGAGACAATTGGACAGTGCCTGTGTTTCTGAATTGTTCCCTGACAAGATTCTGCACTTTATCTGTAAATCAATTTGCACATTGTTACAGTTTTTTCCAATTGCTAACACATTAAAATGATATGCATAGCACAATTATTTAAACTGACACACAGAGAGCAAAACCTCTTCTCAAGTCTCCAAAAGTCTAAACACATTTTCTGCTTTACACACATTTTGCAATTCAAAATGGCACTTTTTAAATGCACTGACCACGTTTCTCTGCATAAGACACAACAATCTGACATAAAGTCACAAGTTTGCCATTTCAAAACACTGCCATTCAAAATGACACTACATGAGCTAATTGGCCAATATATGTGCCACCTGGCCAAACACCTCAGTGGTTAACTGTTATCACTTCAATCAGGAAGTAAGAACTATGAAAAGACACAGGTGAGCACTTTTTTTTTTACAACAATGGAAGACGTTGCAGAGAGAGGAAGAGGGAGGGTGAGAATGAGAGGGGGAGGAAGAGTGTGAGGTAGGGGTAGAGCTGGTAGAGGAGTTCATGGCCAAAGAAGACAACAACTTTCAAATGAAATCAGAGCAACCTTAGTTGATCGTGTCATCAACCATGGGCTGACAATGCGAGAGGCTGGACAGAGAGTGCAGCCCAACTTGAGCCGTTTTACTGTACTGGTATATGTAACACTGACTTGTTTTGTGAAAAATAAAAAAATAAATGTTTCAACAGCATGTGTGTGTATCTGCAAATATTTCTGTGCATGTGAACAATCTGAAGAATTTTCTACAATTTGAACTATTTTAGTATTATGGCAAAGCATACTAAATTTGAGAGTGCTTTTCATTATGCCCAACAGTGTGTAGTTGGTTAGACAAAAATCTGGTAATATGAATGAAGTGTGTGCCATTTGGTGCAAAAGTTTGATTTTGATAATGCTATATGTAGTTCTGGTTGCAGTGCTTCATTTTGCAGGATATATGAGGTATTTTGCAGTTTGGGTGTGTGGTTTTGTGAACCGTGTTAAGTATTTTGATTAAACCAGCCTAGTTTGCAAAATAGTGTTTCAGCAATTGGAAAAAACGAATTGTTGTTCTCTCTTAACTTATTGTTTGTAAACTGTCTCTTTATCATGTAATGCTTTTTATGACGTGTGCTGCTGCCCTCTTGGCCAGGTCACCCTTGTGAAAGAGATCCTGATCTCAATGGATTATTTATCGGGTTAAATAAAGGTTCAATAAAAATAAAAAAAACATGTTTATTTGTGTTGTAAAGTTGGGCATTTTGACAAAGGGATTAAAGGTGAATGACTCATTAGAGACCGTCAGAAGAGGCAATTGGAGGAACAGCAGTTTTTAAAACTTCAACAATGTCGTTTCTTTTTTCTTCCTTTTTATGTTGTTGTTTGTTGGCAAAAGTAAGTCAGGGGGAGTGGTTTATATTTCATGAATTAAATGACCTACAGGACATTGCATTAGGTAATTATTTAGTCATCACTTATTGTACATTAACAATTTAAAGATATAGCCTTGAACTGTACCTCAACCTGTGCACTTCCTTCCCAGAGTAAAGAGAATACAGCAGAGTAGGAGCCATTAAGGTGATCCACCACTCGTCCAGCCACACCTGCTTCAAGTGCCCTGTTGTGCAATCGGGTTACAATTGCATCTCCTCCAGACTTCTTGGGGTTACCTTGGAAGTCATACATTTTTATCATAACTTCCAGCTGGTCTCCTACATGCCGCTCGTCTCCAACCCCCCCTGGGAGAATGGTGAAGGTGCTGTGGGCGGCGTGACTTGTCTGATTCAATGAAAAAGGAGCTGGCAGAGGAGGAGTTTCAGGCCAAGCAATGGACTCCAATATGAGACGTTCCTCCTCAGCTTCTGCAGAAGACAGTGGCTTGAAGGTGCAGAAGTTGTCAGGCACTGGAGAAGCAGTGGGAGGAGCAGTGTGGGGAGCAGTGTGGGGAGCAGTGGGAGGAGCAGTGTGGGGAGCAGTGTGGGGAGCAGTGGGAGGAGCAGTGAGAGGAGCAGTGGGCTGAGTAGAGGTCACGTTCTTGTTGATGATGGCAGAGTTTTCTTTATAATTTAGCTGGAAAGGAGTTGAAAAAGAAGGATGGTGACAAAGATGCATCAAACAAATTTACTAAAATAAAATAAACAAAAAAAAGATGGAATATTTGTCCAAATAAATTTGTATTATTAATAACTGTTTATTTTTAAAACTTTAATCTGCCGGAAGTCACTTTGGAATTATTCTTAACTTGACCTAAGGACAATAGTCGTTTACATTTCTTGATCTTACAGCATGCTCTCCCCTTATGAACATTTCATTTACAAATGTTCTCTTATTTACTCTTTTCAATGATCAAAGTTGTGTATTAATTTTTTCCGATTATATATTGTCTACTTTTCCCTCTCAAAGTTAGGTGTTTCTGTATCTGGTGCATTATTAATTTAATGGCGGATTATAGACATTTTATAAGACCAGGCCGATACACTGAGGGCCACTCTATAAAACACTGAAGTAATATCCACTGCAATGATCTCAACATGGAAAAAAAAGTGTTTCGGGACAGAATTGCTCGGGATCTAATATGATGATGTCAGGGGACAAGAAAACAAAGGATCCTTTCTTCTGCCCCTTCATCAACTCCATTTTCCATTGTATGAGTAATTGCACTGCTACATAACTGTCAGTCTAAGTGAGACAACAACTAGCAAGATGTGTGAGTCAAGATGTCACTCTGTTAATTATGTGATTCTGCACATCTTTCTATCAAACCAGGAGTGTACAGGAAATGTACAATATGTCACATTTTATGACGCTCTTTATACTAAAATGTCTAAATTAATTAAAAATTGACTAAGCTTGTGTTGTAATAACTTTATTTCTATAGTTATGGACTAAGCCTATATGTTATATATTTGTCACATCTAACAACAATCTAACAATCTACAATCTAACAACACCCACTGCCCCCCCCATTAAAATATTTTTAAAAAACCCACAGAAATGACAAATTAAAGGCGTAGGCCTACCATAAAATATAAATTAACCAATGCAGGAATAAGATTAAAAGATGATACACAATTTATATCAGATTTAAATGAACTCTGTTATACAGCTGCACAGCATAATTTATATGGCAAGGTACAGCAGCTGTCTGAATGGAGCTAGTGCAAATTTATAAAGAGTCTGTGCATACGACATTTTACACATAAATCCAGCAGAAATCAAGTATATCCTCTGAAAATAACTGAGTCATGTCTGTCTACAAGGAGTGTGACACCCGAGTCCCTCTGTCTGTGATGTTTTCAGAGCCGTATCTACAGCGTGTTTACATGGACGGGACGGCCGGCCGGCTGCTCCCCTCACTCAGTATAAATCTACTGCATATAGCTCTGTTTACATTTGTCAATAATTCAGTTTACTTAGTCCGATCACTGTCCACTTATATCTCTAGTCTACTGCATCTATTTTGTATTTTAATTTAGTATTTAATTTGGTATTTTATATTTTTAGTTCAAAGTTTTTAGCCTTCTTTGTTATGCTCCTGCTCTGGGTGCCTTTGAATTGCCCCCAGGGGAAAAATAAAGTTTCTTGAAATCAATAGAATTGAATTTATCCTGCTTCATGGAATATCCCTCTGGTCCTCACAGTTATGACATTATTACCCTCCTGATGTCACTTGTTGATGAATAGCCAGCCTGTCTCCTCAACACAAACTCTTTCAATCTGTATATATAAAATAACTGTGCTGAAGACTGGGGCGCCCCACTGTCCATATTTTAGTAATTAATTGTAAGAAAGGCTAGAAGCAGAACCCAAGTAATCTCCATGTATAAACTTAAGGACTTGAGTGGACATACAAAATGTAATAATGAAGTAGACAGCTGATATCTGTGTATTTTTATTTGTAGGGAGCAGATGAACACCTTCATTGTTGCACTTCTGTACAAACTTACATTTAATGGATTTTTTTACATATCACTTTCATTTCAGCATAAATCTTACTTAACAACTATGGCTGTATTTTAAATTCAACTACTTTTTGTATGTATTTTCACGATAATGGGTAAAATATGCATTTTTCAAATCCTAAAACTTTTATTTATTTATGGAAAGCATCTCGCGACCCCCCTTTCAGTGTCTCAGGAGCCCCCAGGGGGGCCCAATCCCCACTTTGAAAGACACTCAATGACCACCTTTAAAGTGTTACCAATAATCCCAGTTCTCACCTGCAGCAGGTCCATGTTTCTTAGTACAAAGAACAACACAGTCAGAAGGAGAAGGATGACACAGGTCTTCAGAAGTTTCATGTTGACATGGTTACTTATAAAACCTTTTAGCCACATGGTGAGTCCTCTGGTACTGGATTAAAACAACACAAAGGGGAAACAGACTCAGTGTTAAGTTTATCATATGAATTCTTCTGGAAGTCACTTAACTCAGTCATAAAAATCTCTGAATATTTATAGTGTCATCATGTCTCACTACCAACATCAAACTAATCTAGTCAATCGAGAATGTGATAATTATATGTTACCAAACAGGGAGTTTACAACAAAACAACTTTTTGGTGCTAGAGGTTTGACAGAAACATAATTACAATGTTCATACTGATGGACAAATTCTCACAATCAGGTGTGCCAAGGTCACATGGTCTTATGAAATGTAGTGAAGTCACTTGAGGACAAAATGTTGACTTAAGATAGGGTTAGTTTACCTGCAGGCACGCAGTAATGGAGGCACGAAGGAAACATGTACATTTAGTCTAATCAATCAATCAATCAATTTTTATTTGTATAACCTCAACTCATAACAAGTGTTATCTCGACACACTTTACAAAAAGCAAGTAAAAGACCTTAATACCTAACTAAAGATTGTTTTGAAGTAGACATTTTAACTGGTACTATTTTGTTACTTTATACTTTAACACATTTACATTTCAGATTCTAATTCTATTCCATTTATTCCTCAATGTTTTTTCTTCAGTTTCACTTGTTACTTTGTAGATTAAAAAATCAATGATTCTAAAAATCATGATGTATAATTTTAGACAACATTAAATTAAGCTCATCAACTCTGTGTCTCACAGCTTCAGCATATATGATACCATGTCTACAGTAATTTAATTGAAACTATTCAAATAGCTCATGCTTACCGAATGACAACACTTATTTTTTGGCATTTAAATATATTTTGATGGCACTGTACTACCTCTGAATGGAGGACTATTTTAAACTAGATTTATCAAACTGAACATGTGCTTTTTAACTGATGGGATCATAGATTGATAAAGTATGATATATGACATGGGGTTTTATATCAGAGTTTGAACTCAAACAGTGAAGAGTATTTCCTATCCCTAAAGTATCCAGTAACAAAACAAGTAAATGTGATAGAGGGGTTCAATTAAAAACAAAAATCAGAAGCAAGAAGCTTAAAGCATGCAGCATAAAATGTTAAAAAAGTACCTTCAAAGTAGACACTAATGGAAACATGTTGTTTTCTCAGCGTCTATAAATGAAACACAAGTTTCACCCAAACAAAATAAAGAATATTACAGCTTACCTCAGAAGAGATTAATTTGGAGTGAACACAGTGGTGAAATCTCTGTGATGTGACGGCAATCCAAATTAAAAAAAGTAAACCTTTTACTCAGAAAAAAAGACAACCTGTCATAACAAGAAGCCAAAAAAGTGCTAAAGAAGCTTCATAAAGTCAT